CCAGTGTCCACAGGGTAGGAAACCTGGACTGAGACCCATGCTTGGAGGCAGCCTCTCCAGTGGTGGCACTCTCAATGATGTAGCCTCAGAATTGAATGTAAGATTACAGTGGTAAATCCATGGCCTTTTAGCTCTGCTCTGCTGTTTAGTGGTGACATTTTTATTTTCTGTTTTACTTACCTGCACGTCATAGTCATGTGTGCTTTTCTTTTCTGTTTTTCTTTACATTTATAGCTGATGCAGATGCATTTAAAATTCTTCTGGAGATGAAGATGAAGAAGAGGCAGAAAAAGCCTACTTTACCAAGCACTGTGACTGAGCTTGACACCGAGGATGGTTCTAAAGTATATGTGGTTGGAACAGCTCACTTCAGCGACAGCAGCAAAAAGGATGTAGTGAAGGTAAATACTAAGTGCAGATCCTTCAACAGCATGTTTACAATGTCAGCTTAGCCTTAAGTAGAATGAAGTCCAGCTCTCTGACTTGGTTCTGTGCTGTAACCTGCGGACTTTGTTTTTTCTCAAGTTAGCTGTTGGAGGACTAAGAGTGCTGTAGGATGAACTAAGAGGCAGCCATATTATCTTAATAATTTTTTGATGCAATACATTACTCTCCCATCTCAAATATTTTTATTTGTCCTTAAATAACAAAGGTAGATACGGTGCCAGTGTTAAAATAGAAGTCTGACTAGTGAAGCTTACCCTGCCTGCCACAATACAGCATCACGTCACGCTGCTGGTGCATACTGTGGTTGTTGCCTACTCACTGTGATGGGGATGTGCTGAGGAGACGCGAAGCCTGTTCTAGAAACTGTGGTTTACAGATTTTCTGCGCCCAGGGTGTAGAATACCGAGCTGTAAAACCATGCTGCCACAAAACTTGAGTTCCAATCTCAAGATGCAAATAAGTCCAAAGCTCTAGTGAAAGTGGGAACTATTCCATACTGTACCTCATGCAAAAGTCTGCAGTTTAGAGTGGCTTTATTTTCTGGGAGCTAGAGAGGAGGGGATCTTGTGCCAGAATCATCAACCCTGGTTCTTACAGAGCTTATTCTAACTCAGATTGCAAATGATCACAGAGTATGGTTAAAGGAACTTTGTGAATGTGAAAAGTTTAACATCAAGTTTTTCTCCCCCACCCTCCCCCAGCACAATTTGTTCTTCATCTTCCTGTCTGAAAGCATCCAGTAGCTAAAGCGTTTTTCTGTCATCTCCCTTAATGTTTTTCTCAATACATAGCTATTTGGACATTCATATTTACTCTTTCATTGTTCTTTTAATTGAAAGCAATTGCTGAAATGTGCTTTTATTAAGTTCCTTTTGTGATGGAAAGTATCAATATTGGCTGCATTTCTTTTTAATCCTTCCTAAACTGGTGTAAATAAATTCGTCTTTTTCAGACAATACAGGAAGTGCAGCCTGATGTAGTTGTGGTGGAACTATGCCAGTACAGAGTTTCTATGTTAAAAATGGATGAAAAAACATTACTAAAAGAAGCCAAAGAAATAAATCTGGAAAAACTTCAACAAGCTATAAAGCAGGTATGATTCCCACAATGAGAATTAAAATTTTGTTTTAAGAGCAATTTGTCAAGTTACAACCAAAACCAGTGTTCCCACCAGCTGGGAACCTAATACTGTTCACCTAGGTGAGAGTACTATTACAGTGGCAAAGTTAAGTTTAGTTCAGTTTAGGTTTGGGTTTGGGTTGTTTTGTTGTGTTTTTTTTTTTTTTCCAGCTTGGAGTATTGAGGGCTTCTGTTCCACAACAGGATTGTTTGGGCAGTTGCTGACCTTGGCGAGAATCCTCCTGGGTTTAACAGTTGCTCCATTTGCAGAACACAAGTCTGACTGTGATTGAAGTGCTCTGCTAGTGTATTTAAATATGATGATTGTTCCTGCAACCTGCGCCACAGCTATTTAGAGAACATTTAGTATTGGTGGTGTCTGTCATGATCTGTTTAGTTGCGTTCCTTCTTCATCCTAGTGTGCCGCTCGCTCTTTTAATTCTTGTCCACTTATCTTTTGAGTAGTTTCTCATTGACAGTAGGCCTTGAGGGAGGTTTTTGAAAAATCTGGGCTGAAAATTACGGGATTCCATTCAAATTATAACTACTCTGACTACTCTGGCAGTCTAATGCTGCCTGGGATGTGTGCGCAAAACAAGTGTTGTCCGGTATTTTTTTTCAGTTTCACCCAGTTAGCTTATATTTAAGTAATTTTAAGCTTGACACAGTGAAACAGCACAAAGTTGACTTAAATAAATACAGGAGATTTGATTAGAATGGCAGTATGTGGTCAGTAGTAAAAAGAGTTTTCCAGTGTTCAGTTCAGTGAACAAATTCATAGATTACTTTGCTTGTGTGGTGTGGTAATTATATATTGGAATTGTGTTATTGATGTAATTGGGGAATTTTCAGGATTGCAATTCTCAAGGATATAATCTGCATCATGCAGAAGCATTTGCAGTGGCTGGGGCCAGTCTACTTGTGTGCGTGTGCAGCCTTTCTGACTCATAGAGTTAGGCAATAATGTGTTCTTCCTGTTTTCTTTGTTTGTGTCCTATCAAAGAAAAGACCATTGCAGAACACTTGCATATTGCATGAATTACTGCATCCGTTTACTTTAAGTAAGGTGTATTGTTCTGATGCATGTAGCCAAAAGAATGTGTTCACAACCAGAGCAGCATAGCTGGGGGCCTTCTGACCTCATAAACAGGCACAGAAGCCTTAGTTTTCCATGTCAAACCTAAATGCAACGGTTTTTGCTGTGCTTCTCTGTTAAGAAGAAAAGACCAATGAAAATAAAATAGTGGAGTGTTGTGTTTTTTTTTCTCTGACATGTAAATTTGTGTTGGCAGCTTTGTAATTTAGCACTTCCTATCAGGGCTTGAAGTGATCTTGTGTGCAGACAGTAAGAAATAGACTGTGTTGCCTCCAAAGCCAGAGAATAATATGAAGATCCTTCCTGTTACAGCTCAATCTTAGTTTCCTTTGTCACCAGGAATAATGCAAATAATAATAATAAAATTTGGACATTGTGCCTTTGAATTAATGTATTTCTCTGTCTGTAGTCTCAACTGGAAAAACAACCCCAACCTTCCCCCTTTGATTCAATAGCAGTGTGGTTTATATAGGGAAAATCAGGAAAAACAGTCCAACTGTCTCATGCCAAATTATAGTGGGTTTTTTTTTCTGTAGTAAAATCAAACCAGCTGGTAAGTTGCTTAGTCGTGCTTCAGTTGTCCTCTCTCATTGAAATGTGCATTTGGGCCCAAAAGTTACTCCAAAAGTCAAAACTTCTTGTAACTTTCATCCCCAAGTATCAAATTAGGAAGAGAAAACTGCGTTTTTATAGTTGCTTGTGTAAATCGTAAGTAGTAAAACTGCGTTTCATTGCTCTTAATTGAAGCTGGAAACTGAGCAGTGTGTTAGTGTGAAACTATTACACACTTGGAATGGGTCACTGGTATTCACAGCTTCTCAAGCAACTGTTGCAGGTTAAAAAACAGCTTTCCTCCAGCCCCTCCTTGAATTCCAAAACCCTTGCAGTTGTTTGCAGAGAACTACCTGTTTGCTTTCCATTAAGCAGTGCAGCACAGTGCAGACTGGTATCTGCCTTGAATGTGAGTTACCTGAATGTGCACAGTAGCAGTTGGCTTGAACCAAACTGCTAAGACAGGTTTTGTCTTACCTTCTCCTCCGAGTTCCTGTTTCCACTATTCCTTCTGCATCCATACCGTGGCCATGTGGCAGTCTGAACAGGGCTTGCTTTTTCACTGCATCTTGTCTCTGTGTGGCTGTATGGTTGCTGGTTCTGACGCAGAGGAGTTGAGAAACCATGTTCTGAGGCAGAAGAGTAAGTGGGCTGGTGGCAGCAAAATCTTAGCTCAACCTCACTTTTTTAACCTACTTCCTTTCAGCTGAAGTTACCTGTGCAAGAATATATTGTAATGCTGTTTTTTTTTTAATGCTTCTGGCCAGTAAAAAAGCTCTCGTTTGCACTATGTAATACAGCCCTCCGTATTTAGGTAACCTACAGGATTGTCCTGTTAAAATAGACATAATGTGAATTGGTGGATGACGGGTACATCCATATGGACAGGAGATGGCTGCCGTCGCTTGCTAACTTCAGTTGTGCTTTGAAGTCTTAACTTCCAGTGCGCTTGCAGCAGTAGGAAAACCAGTTCCAGGCTCCAGGTGGCAAGGCTTTGTTTGCACAGGGCTGCATCCATGGGAATTAGGGTTTTTAAAAGAAGATATCCAGAGGACTGAAATACAAACAGTTTGTTTCTGCCCGCAGTTCTGCAGTTAGCGCTGGATCTGTGACTTGTTATGCAGTTGAAGAGTAGCTCCGAGGCCCCCTCCTTAGGCTGCGTTCCCATACAGAGTATAAGTGTTTCTGTGCTGAGCCCGGCAGAAGGTTTATCTGCTTCAGAAGCCCTCTGGCAGCTGCCAATAACAGATGCCTGGGGAAAGGCATTGGAACCTGCAGTCATACTTTGCCTGGGTGTTCCTCTCTCTTCTTGTCCTTTACACTGTCTCTGTGCCAGTGATGATGTCCGATAGAGTGTATCTTCCTCAGTTACCTTTTCCCAAGCCTCTCGAGTATTTAGTATGTTTAATCTCTTCTCACATGTTTGGTATTTCTTTGTATGTTTTCTAGTTCAAGTATCTTGTTTTCAAGACAAGAGTCTGCTAAAGATGGTACAGCAGTGCATTGATGTTTCTGTTTTGTTCCTTTCCTGGTAATCCTTCTCACTCTTCTTACTTTCTGACTGCAATTGAACACTGGGCTGATAAAATCAGTATTTTGCTTTCTCTCTCCTGTGTGCTAACAGCTCTGTGTCCCTTTGCCTGTGCAATTTTCTTTCTACTTGTGCGTTGCTTTGTGTTTATGGCTGTTGCATCTAACCTGTGAAATTATTGCCAGCCACTCAGGATTTAATGTTCTTTTGTGGTCAGCTTTCCTCTATCTGACACTGAATAATCTGGTATTGATAATAACCTCTTTTACAGTTTTGTTCCCATCATTTTTCGTACATTTTGCTCTTTATCCCCCAACTCCTTATGGCTGGCCAGTTGTTGCTGGTTGCTGCTACATATGGCTGCTTGTCACCTTTTATCTTCTTGATGCTGAGCAAACACGGCAGGCACTGAGTTTCATGCAGGTTAAGAGCACAAATGGCTCGGATGCACTTCAAAGATGCATCCCTCTGTTAGTCACCAGGGTGAATCTTTCTGTCACAGTGTAAAAATGCAACATCAAATAACATCAATCCTGAAGGGGAGATCAGCCAACAAACAACCTCAGGCTGCATTATCCTAGTTTTTTCTTTGTGGGCATCTTTTCTGAACTTCTGGAAACCTTTGTCCCCCAGGCTTTTGGACTGGAGCTCAAAAACGCTGAAAGCCATTTTTCTCACTCCCCTCTTTCTACCTTGTCCCTCCTTAGGAGCCCAGTGCCCTGTCTTTCTTCTTAACCTACTCATTTGATGACTACTGTATGTCAGTCAGTTGTTCGTACAACGTGCCATGCTTGCTAGTTTGTAACATGATAGAGCAGGTAATCAGTTGGCTTTGAAAATAGCTATTCTCTTTTGCCAGTTATGGTCCTCAGTGACTCTTGAATCCACTTACCTGCAGAAACTGCCTACAGCCTTTGGAGAGGCCACACAAGCATCAGAGCTGGGAGCAGGGAATGGAGACTGGGACCTTCCTCTGGTAACTTCAGGCAGTTTTATTAACTCAAGCTATCCCATGTAACCTCATCTTCAGTTGCATGAAGCTGGTGATATAGCAGGAAGTTTAACCTTTGGCAAGGGAAGGGGGAATGCCCCTTTTGGTAGTGGTATGGACTGATGCCAAACTGGAGGAGATGAGTAACCAAGGTACAGGTTATGCTTGGAGACGGGTAACACTCAGCCACTGGTAAAAAATAATAAGGGTTTGTGTGAGGAGAGGCCTTTAGTCTGCTTGTGGGAGTGAGTCATGCTCAGGACTGTGAGGTCTTTCCTCAGGTCTTATGTGCTGAAGTCATGCACAGCAGTTTCTTGCATAGTGCCGGATTCTCTGTGTTTCTGTGGCTGTTAACCTAACCAGGACTTAGCCTAGTGTTTCCCAGGATTGTGGGAGAGTTTATGATTAGCTGTGTCCCTTTCAGTAGCTCTATAACGTGGCGTTTACTGTACATTCAATGGAATGTGCTCTTGTGGTCCCTTTTTTTTGTAACCAGATAGATCAAGAAAAATGCAATGCACAGTATAAGCTGGTTTACCATTCATTCAAACACTTTCTTCAAGCAGGTGTAGTAAATATAGACTGACGTAAGTCTGGCTGCCCTCCTTTCTTTTCTTAACTCTGCCATACATTTTTGTTGAAAGGGAGAATCCTTTAGCTGCACATTGAAGTGAAAAGCTACTTCACAACTAATAGAAACTGAAATAAAAGAGCTGTATTGGTCAGTGAATTGGCTTCAAAAGGAGCTTCAGTGCTGCTTCTTCACTAAGATACTTAATGGTTTTTTTATGACTGTTCATTCTTCTTCAGAGAAATCCACCCAGCTTGTTGATTTTTCTTTTTTTTTTTTTTAATGTTTTTCTCCCTTTTCCACCAGAATGGAGTCATGTCTGGATTGATGCAAATGCTGCTTCTGAAGGTTTCTGCTCACATCACAGAACAGCTGGGAATGGCCCCAGGAGGAGAATTCAGGGAGGCTTTCAAAGAGGTACGAACTTGAAACGTTTTTTCTGAGATCAAATTACTGAACTTTTGCTCCCAGAGTCAGTCTAAGTAAAACCATTTGTTAGTGACTAGGAAAGAGCACTCTGCCATAGTTGTGCTGGGGCCTGCAAAGTAGCAAGAATTATCTTTGTCTTCAAAGTGTATGCAAAAGTTTGTAGCCCTAAATGGTACGAGAGCAACTCCAAAAAGGCTTCAATGAAAATAAATGCCATCAGAAATATCATCAGAAAAAAACCTTATAATTTCATTAATAATTTATTTATTCTGTTCTTGTTAAATAGTTGTTTTTGAAATCTGGATATGGATCCTGGTCTCACCATTGGTGGTGTCAGGGTTTCAGCTGTGAAAACCAACTCTAAAGCATTAATGAGATCTAATGCATTCATCTAGAAAGAATGCTTGGCGCAGTAAAACATCTGACTGGTCTGTTAGTCCTATCTGGCCTTTTAACATTCCCTTTTGTACTACTGCCCGCTTTGATACCATGAAGTAAATAGTAACTGGACCTCTCTTTGTATCACAGGTACTCATTTTTTATCTGGGAATACTGAGACACTATTTTCACTCTGTATCCACCTTGCAGAATGCTATTTTTATGTAAATTCAGTACTAGTAAAGAAAGCTGAGATAACATAGGTGTTAAAGAATCTGGAATAATTTGTTGTATCTATCCTTAAGAAAACTGTTTCAAGGCTTATTTTCCTGAGCATTCCAGACCAGAGTGAAACATTTGAAGTGTTTCCCTTTTTAAGTTGGAAATTAAAAAATACATATAACTAGTTCTGTCCTAAAGTGGTTGTTTGAAATTTTTAAACAGGTATACATAGGACAGAATTTTCTAGGAATCCCGCACTGTGCTAAAATTTGTCAGTCTAAGCTACAGCAAAGCCTCACCTCGCATTGGCATGTGGTATCTGGCATCAGTTCCTGTTTCATAAGCTCTTCTCTTGAATATATTTTGCCATGACAAACTGATAGGTTTGTGATCCTGACAAATCCTAGGTAAAAGCAAAATGACCACAGGCATTTCACCTTAGACTTTATTCAGACCCAGACAGGTATCGAGCCCCATCTGTTCACCTTAAGTAGTCATGATCAGGAGCTTTCTGGTTAGGTAAAAGTAACCTAAAGAGGGTGGCGTTAAAACTTAATGTTTTTACTGTAATACCTACTGCATCTTGTAGCTGAGGTACTCCTTTATGAGTAGCAGTTTGGAAAATTTATTTATTGCAAAGCCAAAATATTTTTTGATGTTGAAGTATGACACTACTTGGTCTTTTTTAAGATAACACAATAAAACAAATGTTTTTCTCAATAAGAATATACTCTGCTGCAGCATGGAATGTTGACTAGTGATTTATATCTTCTATTTCAGGCCAGCAAAGTACCTTTCTGTAAATTCCATCTTGGAGACCGACCCATCCCTGTTACATTTAAGAGAGCAATTGCTGCACTTTCTTTCTGGCAAAAAGTCAAGCTTGCATGGGGCCTGTGCTTCTTATCTGACCCAATCAGGTATGAATAAGCATCTCATATGTTTTTTGGGGTGAATTGTTCAATTCTTTCATTTGACTTTAGTAGGAGCTGGAAGTCCTCAGCCTGATGCAGTGAAACTTGAAGTTAGTGAGAAGGATAAATATACAAACTACCCTGCAATAATCTGTATTTTTTTAAAAAAAGAAAGCTGGCTTTCTGATCTTGTTCCAGCTCTTTCTTTAATTGTCTTTTGACACATTACCTCCAGGTGAAGTGAAGGATTTGGTGCTGGAGAATTCCTAGTATACTTAAGAAAAAACTTTTTTAAATTATTTTTTTGTTTTTATGCTGAAAATAAAATCTTTCTCACTTCTGTGTGTGGATATTGTAAATAGAAGAAAGTAGGGCCTTGGTATGCTAATTTATACTCTCAAGATTTCTAAAGGACTTGGGCCTGCTTTGCTAAGTCACATCTAGATCAGGGCAGCCTGATAACTGAATCTGCTGTCTGAGCAGATTTTTGGAACAAGAGAAAACATTTAAAGTCTGTAGACAACATGTGAACATTTAATGATTATTGCCTTTATAAAGGGACATAGTTAGGAACTTTTGCCTTATGGTAATACTTCTCAGACTGCTATTCTCTTGCTCAGTTTGGTTTCCCCTGCCCTTCAGAGACATCCCTGTGCCAAGTTTGCTTCCTCTTTCTACAAGTAGGTGTGTGATAACTTGCTTGAGCTGGGTGAGAACATATGCACAGCTGTCCTCCTAAATTCAGTCTGCTTCTGCCAGACTTGCGGTGGTGGGAGGCTTGCCAGCAACGAGTTCCCTGTGCATGTGGTCCTTGAATTTCAGTGCCTCATTCCCTGTGACCAGAGCTCTAAACAGCTCGTGGAGTGATCTATGGCATTTCTTACAACCTTTTAAAATTGGGACAGGGCTCAGACTGTAGTTGAGTCAATCAAACTTTCTGTTTTCCAGTTTTAACATTTACTTAACTGTCGCTTCCTGTAAATACTTGCTGTTACATTCACCTGTGAAATGAGTTTGACCCTCTTTCAAGACATTAACTACAGTCCGTGTGCAAAGTGAGTTTTCTTACTTACTAGTGTAATACCAGCATGAAACTATTTGCAGGCTTTTGGGGGCACTGGAGGATATATTTCTCTGCAGCTTCTCCCATTCTTTTATCCATCCTAAGAACGTTTTGGTTTTCAACTGCAGTATTAAGATAATTGCAGTATGTGCACACTAGCTTCCCACTGAAGCTTGGACATAACATCTCAGTAGTTGTACAATTGATTGATCTGCTACATTGATTTTTAAAAATAACACATAGGTAGGAGTTGAAAGAAGAAGTTGTTGGGGGGAAGGGGTATTGTACACCCAGCCATCAGCATGAGATTCTACAGAAAATGGAGTAATAATTCAGCATCAAACTTGTGTCAGTCCAATAGCTTTTCTCTGATCTGTTGAAAGCTAGCAATGCATTTCTCCTTTTGGTTGTCCCTGTTGACATTTGTAGTGTCCTTTTGATCTTGGAAACTAAAGAAAGCGTGTTTGGCATCATTCTTCAGTAGACAGTGATGTAAAACCAGATGATTCTGTTGCAACAAGCTATGACTGTACTACAGCTGTGGTACAAAGAGAAGGATAACAGCACCTATAAAAAATATGAAAGCTCATTACACTTACTCCTGCAGTTTTTATTTGTTTATTTCCAGCCTGTTTCCTATTCTCTGTTCAGGGAGCTGATTTATAACTTTTGACTTCCCTGCTGAAGACCTGTGATTGACACTAGGAACCAGCACAACTTTTTCCATCCCCTCAGACTGTACCTTATGGTGTGCACTTTTTGTTCCTTAAATAGAGCCTCTGTGTGTTCAGTGATCAGATATGCTTCCTTGGGAGTGCTCTGTGTTGCTTCTTCTAAGCTTATTAATACACACTGAAAGTGGGGCACCATGATAACTATTTCCTTTGAAGACCTAGTGCTTTTGCTTCGCTGAGCTGTCAGCTTTCAAACTGAGCAGGGTGAAAATCCAGTTTCACTGCCTAAAGGCAAGTGACCTCTCTTCTTTTCCTTTCCCTCACTGTAGAGGCATTGTTAGGTATCCAGTTTTACAGGTTTAGGGGGTTTGTTTTACTTTTGGAGAGGAGAAGTAGGGAAGGAGAGCTGTAGAGTGTGAGTTTATGTGGATAATGTTTATAATACCCAATTGTGTTTATTCATTGGTTTGTCCGCATTGTCTATATGCTTTAAAAGCATAACAGATACTGAGAAAACTTACCTTTCTTTCAGTAAAGATGATGTGGAGAAATGCAAGCAGAAGGATTTACTGGAGCAGATGATGGCAGAAATGATTGGAGAATTTCCTGATCTTCATCGAACGATTGTCTCGGAGCGAGATATTTACTTGACCTACATGCTGAAGCAAGCAGCAAAGCAGATAGAACTACCTCGAGCTTCAGAAAGTAATTGTTTTGAAGTAGATATCATAACCAGTAAGGTGTTCGTTGTGTACTAGTCCAAAGTTCGGTTGTTCTCAGGAAATCTGGGATGTTCTTTTCATGTGTGCCACGTGTCACGTAAGATTACAGTGCTTAAAAAATTAAAAAGGGATACTACTCTTCTGTTGCAACCACCTATAGAAGTGAAGAATTTTCATAGAGTGGTAGACTCCAAATTACGATTCCTTTCTCATTGTGCTGTTTAAAACTGGAAAGTTCTAATTAGCCTGACAACTTTTTCCAAAGGTAGGTGTCTGGTATTTCAGCACAGCACGGGACAGTCTAGGCTTATGTTTCCTATCTCACTTCCATCTCCTTACCTCACCAAATTCATTAGCATCACTAGCTGCTCAGGAACATGTTTCTTCCTTGAAACACTTGTGACTCTGCATGTTTCAGCAAGGTGTAGGCATACAGAATAATTGCATTTCTCTAGCCTTTGGAAGTATTTGCCTGCTGTATGTGATCCATGTGCCCTTCCTATACAGAAGCACACTGAGGTTACCTCTTATTCTTCGTCCTAAGATACTGTTTGTAATCACATCAGTGCAGACCTCTGGCACTGTCTTGTGATTGAAGAAATAGCGACAGGATTGTACTTGTGTTCTTGTATCTCCCTTGCCTAATATTACCTCAGTGCTGCCTTCATAAAGCTTGTCCAAACATAGCGCTTCCTGTTAGCTCAGTTGGTACGGCTGAAAGAGGCACAGATGCATTCAGTTACTTGGTCCAAAGAGCAGGCTGAAAATTTAGTTTTATTGATGGTCATGGCTGGGTCTCAAGCCACAAGAGGAATTGTTTAGCATTTCTCCAGTGATCTTTCTGGATCACTGGTTTAGTGAATGCCTATGAAACTGGAAGGGGTCTATATGCGTTACGAAGGACATAAAATAGGAGACCATAAAAGACAAGAATGCGAGGGACTACCTGGCTGATAGCCATGTATCTCAGTCTTTTAGTTAACAAGGGACAATGCCAGAGAGTTTTGTTTAGAAGCTGTGTGTTTATATTATATGCATATAATCTATTCTATTCATTCATGCTCATGAGAGGCAAAAAGAAAAAAGGACCAAAAACAAAAGGCAAATTATATACTTACGATTCTTAGTAAAATACAAAACTCTACAGTTCAAATGAGCAGAAACAGGGCATCATCACCATTGTCCAAATAATTTACTATTGTAAGGACAGTAAGGAGAAATTCCTGGACACTATTTGCAGGACTCAGTTATACTTTTGGTCTGATACATTTCTAAACTAGGCTTGATTTGTTTCTAGCCTTCACCTGACTATTTGCCTTGGTGAACTCTTCTAAAAAGTTTGCAAATGAAACTTTCACATTTAGTTTTTAATTTATCTTTACTCTACACAAAACATTCTGAGAGGGGGATAAAAGTTTCTTCCAGGACTAAATTTCAGACAGGGCTTTAAACATTACTGATCTCATCTTTGAATCCTGCCCTGAAGCAGACAGGAACATACAGGTGGAGGTTGGAGCGGACATGATGTGCTGTGGACAGCCCACTCTGCTGAGGTGCTGTGCTCTGTCTCTGTTGTAGTTGCAGCTCTGATTTAGAGCAACCCTAGGATAGGCTGAGAAAAAGCAAGTCCAAAGAAGCAATTTTGAAAATGAGTATAATAGTTCTAGTGTTTTCGATACAGTTTTGTTTCATTTGGAGGGGCTGAGTGGATATCAAGAGTGGATATTCAAAGCAAGACAGTGAAACTTATTCATATTTTATATTTATGTATCATTTTCTCCATTGGAGAGCAGCCTGATTACTATTACTTAGAAATTTTTCTGTGAATTGTTTTTATCGTGGTGTGGTGCCATTTTTGCACTAGGGGAGAGGTAATCCCAAAACTTTCAGGAACAACGTTTTAACTTCAACTAGGTGCTGTGGAATTTGGGTGGTAGGTAGATGGGAGGTGAGGGTGAGCGCTGGCATGTGTCGTAGTGGTCTAATGGTGACTGCTTCCTAGAAATGCTGTGGAGTTTGCCGTTCCTTGCTGAGGCCAGATCTGTCACAGTGAACTTAACGGGGACGGGTATGGTCTCGAGCACTGTTCTCCAATTCTTCATTCTGCTTGTTAGCCCAGGTCTTGTCACAATTTGAATGTTTGCCAGCTGACTCTGTCCAAAGTGGTGGAAAAAGCTCCCAGTTCAGGAGATAGCAAAGACCAGAGCTGTTCTGATAAGCAGTACAGAAACATGACTCATACAGGGAAGGAAAGAAAGAAATTAATTTACCTTGCATCTGCTGAGCCTCTCACCCTGAGGCTGGAGTATGAGCCAGGTACATTTACTGAAATAAACGTTTCCTGAAAATCCAGAAACTGCTGACTTTTTTTTTTCAGACTTTCAACGTAAGAGGCAATAGGTGAGATGAGTATTAACTTTTAGTATGTACCAGCTTTAGTATCTAGTAGTAAGAGTCCCTACCTCTTGGAAATTTGTAATCTTACAGATCACTTATTTATTTATAGCTTGAAATTAGTTCTTTTACTGATGTGTTCCTTTCTTTTCATCTCTATTTCTCAGCTGAACCTAGAGAATATATCCCAGCTGTTGTAGTTGGTGTTGTTGGGATGGGTCATGTACCTGGAATTGAGAAGAACTGGAACTCTGACTTAAATATCCAGGAAATAATGAGGTAACAGTCATCTTTTCCTATGTGTTAACATAGCAGCTTCTCTTGCTAAAAGACAGCAATCATTGGTTTGTTTGGGGTTTTTTGGTTGGTTGTCACAGCTTGAAGAAACATCATTACTGTCGTCCTTGCCCTGTCAGCTCACTGACTTGCTGGCAGTGCTTGCAGATTGTGCTCACAGCAAAGGAAAAGAAAATATCAAAGGGGAAAAAAAAATAGTTGGATATTGAGGGAAGTAGAGATGAGAAGATGCCCTGGTCTAGAAAGAAAATTCATTGATCCACATTTAAAGCTTTTAAAACAAGAATTTGAATGAGGGCTGTAGCAGATGGTGAAAACAAAACCAGGCTTCCAGTCTAGCTTAGGTAAATATAAACTGTTGGATTCAAAGCTTTTGTTGTGTCAGGACACTGCTGGCTCTGGCAGGTTTACTGTTGCAGTTGCTCATAGCCCATTTTTAACTGTGTTTATATATATATATATATATATGTAGTAATATGTTTTAATGTGTATACCTAAATATGGGCTGATTTAAGCCACGTATCTGGTGAACTCTCACTCCAAAGTACCTATTAAAATAGATGTATGTGCTTCGTAAAAGAAAAGATTGAAGAACCAAAACGTTAAGACTACGTGTATTCTATAAATCCACAAAGGTCAGGACTTCAGAAATGTAGAGTGATTATAGTATTGCCTGGTAGTACTGGTCTGTGATGGTTTAGGATAATAGAGCCTTTCAAATATTGGCACTTTGTTATCATATCCGCTTACTGTGTTTATGTAAGCACCTCACCCATCTCTTCAGAGGCTCTGAAAAACAGAGAAGATTGTGCTTCACCTAAATGGTATATTGAGGCATTTAAAACATGATGTAGAGAGACTTTTGGTGTCTGGATCCAAGAAAGCAATGTACAGAAGCCATTTGTAAGTATTTTTCAAGGCTAAGCCTCACCTGGAGTCACAGACTAGATGTCCATACTCCTCTGCACCCTCGCAAATAACGTGTAAAATGAGGTTACCCAAATCCATGTAACTGTATGGTTAGTGTCGGTTGCATCGTTGACATCACAGAACTGAACAGCCAGAAGCCTGACTACGTGTCCTCAAGTTTACACAGAGGGTCGTTTTCATCAAAGGCTGTTTAACGTGGCTGTCTTTACTGTGCCAGTGCCATAACTAAGTGGAATGGTTAGCAATATCTTTCGTTAGACATTAATATTGCGTTAACTTGACTTTCTAAAATAATATGAAGCAAATGACATTTATAAGATTACTATGTATTTGAGACTCATTTCTCATTAAACTTTTTAACCCTTCCTACCATTGCACTACAGTTGCAGAGCAAAGTTAGGGGTGTTTTTTGTGTTAGTGGTTGTCACCTCTCTAAAGTGAAAAGTTTTTAAAACTTGCACAGGTATTTAGTTAGGTTTTACAAGTTGTGAGGTGATCTTGGAAATCGTCTGGATAGAAACATAAACATTTCTCAGACTTCCAGTGTTTAAGGTCATGCATTGAACCTGACTCGGAGCAGACTTTACTGTTTGCTTCAGGTTGATATGAACTGATTTTTTTAAAATTGTGCTGAGGGACTGGGATTGAGAAAGAATAGATAGAGAAGCATATAAGATCATGTAAAAATCCCATCCTTTATTCAGCATGCATGCTTTTAAAAACTTTTCTTGTATATTCCCTTAATGTGCAAAATCTTACCAGTAATAACTTCGCCCTAGTTTGAGCATATGGATCTAAACTCAGCCTCCTTGTATCGTAATCGCAGCGCATCTAACCTGGCTTGAGTGTGCCCGTAATGTTTTTGCACTACTGTAACTTCGATTGCTTCTGAATACATTAGAAACATTTTCTAGATAGAAAAGAGAACTTGTGGCTTCTTTGAAATGACATGCAGAGACCTCTCTGTGCCCTGTGAGGGGACTATCGGAGTTGCAGTGTAGGAGGGCAGGGCCAGCTGAGGTACCACAGAGCTTGTTCGTGAAGGTGCAAGGCTACACGTGGGTGTCACTGTGCTTTCAAAGCCACCTTTATTTTGAACTCTTTGTTAACTGTTAGCTAAGTACACTAAGATATTGACTGCTTGAAGGCAGGGGTAGACCTGGTGTGCCTGTCGTCATCTGCCCTCCTGGTTCCAGGTGGTCAGTGCAGAGATTTCCAGGTGGCTCTGTGAAGATCTCAAAGCCAGCAATACCTGCCAGATGGGAGACAGCTTCATGCGAAGCCTCTCTCATTTGTCTGCACTGTCCTCTGTGGAGCTCTGGATGCCAAGAGCGCTGCAGGGGCTTGGCTTCCACACGCTCGTGCTGGGAGCTGCAGCTAGGCTGGTAGGCCTGCCTGGCATCCAGGGGTATGCCTTGCAGGAACACCCCCCCACCCCCTCCCAAATCCGTGCAGGGGCCAGCCTGGATCCAGACTTACCCCTTCTGGCCACACAAAACTGACCAGATCCTGACATGCATTATCCAGAATATCCAAACTCTGTTTTCCTCTATTACTCTGATTTACAGTGATTTGACTGTACAGGTGTTGGACTTAAGCTGCATCTTGTGTTTCTTCTGACTTTTGCAGAGATATGCACAGTAATATTGTAAATGGTTTGACAAATAATATTAACTTCTAGTGTCCTTCAAGAAGTCTCGATGTTGTCTTAGTTATTTTGGTAGGGTGATGGGCAAGTTAAGGTCCATAGCCATTAAGAGTGGCATCATACATAAATAATAATAAATTTTCTTCCCCTTATTACTGTTGTTGTTACTATTTAATTTGCATGTAGCCCTTGAACATGAAAGAATATGTTGATTGTTCATGACACATCTGTCTCTTGCACCGTAAGGGGGAAGGGGAGAAAAGATTCTTGTTTTGATTGGAAAATGCCTGTTCTTCTCAGCTGTGCGGCTGTTAACGTTGTTTTGTATCTTTTGCTTCAGTGTGCCTCCTCCATCAGCTTCAAGCAAGATTTTCAAATTTGTCATAAAAGCAACAGTTTTTGGACTGATGGGATACGGCTGCTACCGAATAGGTCAAAGGACAGTTCAGTTTATTCTCTCGATGCCAGCAGCACAGAGCTACCTTCAGAAGCTGACAGAAATGAGGTCTCAGCATTGAACATCAAGTGAAGGCACTATGTGAAGAAGGTGGCTGAAAAAGGGTGATGGAGGCAACAAACATGAACGGGACTGAAAGAAGAGAGAGACGAGGATTCTCATCAGAGGTGATTGATGCTGGGCAAAGCTGAATTGCTGTATAAGAAAAGATTTGATACTCAAGTTACACCAGCTATGATCTAATGAATAGGTTTGATTCCTGGCAAGTGTGTTGCATGAAACCACATGATTCCAGATTGAGGTAAAATAAATATGTACGCAAATATATATATTATATATATGCATACTGTGTATATATAATATATATTACTGACGATGTAGTACAGACAGCTTAAAGAGTGTATGTTCATGACTTCTTTTCCAGAGGAACAGAACAACACAAATTAACCTAATTGGCTGCATCTGCTCCGAAGTTCAGGGACACTTGTCTTGAGGGATTCTTTGCTTTTTTTCCTTAGGTATAACAATACCTAGTGGTTGTTTCTGGTGCCAGACACTTTTACACGTAATTTAGGAGGACATCTTCTCAATGTGTGTTTTATACTTAAAACATTTAGGCTTTTTTTAAACTTAAGAGCTTTCCAAAAATTTCAGAATTGTACAGGCTGTCATACGTACACTGCTCGAATTTTTTTACAAGCCTTACTGAAGAACAGGAACGTTGCCTTTAGATTGCATCCCTTGTTACCACCACCAGTTGAATTGTCTTTCTCCTGCATAGAGAAGGTATATAGCCACACCATCAGAATGCAATGTGGTTTGTGTCAGATGTTTACAGGACGCTCTGTTCCTTTAGATTAGCTTATTTAAACTGTATTATTTAGCCAGATCCTGCTGGATTCAGTATTGTAAATTTCAGAGACTAGAACTACTGTACAATTCACTTTTGTTTCTCAAACTTTAGTTATTGGGACGAGAAGTCTGGAATTGATAGTACCTGCCCCTCATTTTTGATACATGAAAATATTTTATTTATCAATGTAATTTCTCAGTGGATGAATATTTTAATCTATTTAATAGAAAAGCAGTGTTCAATTTAGTCTTTCAAACTAGCTGTACCATTTTGTTTGGGTTTCCTGCTATTTATGCATAGAATTATGGGTACTTCAAACTGCTGTGATTTTCTTAATTATCCAGGACAGCCATTCATCATCGATCTGTTTTGGTTTTGGTTTTTTTTTTTTAATCCTAGGTTCATATTACATAAGAATTTTTTTGGTAGTTTTTATATAGGATTGTCAATGATTGTAAAGTGCCCTCTGCAATCAGCTAGTCCCGGTTCAACAATACAAATAACTGTAGTTGTCACATCGATGTTTTAACCTGAGGTATTTGAATGGAAGAGTCTCGTTTGGTCCTCAGGCTCACATACCGTTGCTCATTGCGTAAAGTGAAGTTTTTGTCTGTATTAATTTCTTTTGGGAATGAAAGACAGGAACCAGTTTGTGAGGCAGGAGGAAGAAAAGGTGATGTTGTGTTTTTTGTTTTTCTTTGTTGGTTTTGGTTGGTTGGTTCAATAAAATCAACAAACTGCTTTTAGTAGGGTGTATTTCCAAAGCATTGTGTTGGAAGTCATCCCACACAGCCTATTGTTTGCTGAAAGTACTTATGTGTATCTTCTGTGCAGTGTTGTCTTTTTCAAGCTTTTTTAATGAAATTAAGGATCTAATGCTCCTCTCTGTGATGGCATTGACTTTTCTGGGAGCTGGTCTGTCCATGCAACCTGATGCTTTTTTGCCTTGCACTTTGAAAATTTTGAGCCCCACTGCAGCAAATCATTTAAGTGCATGTTTATCTTTAAACCTGTTAGATTTAACCCGATCCTGCAGAGCTCTTAAGATGATGCTAGGTGCTTTTCTGGATCTGGGCCTTATAGTTGTGCAGAAAATAAACGTTGGCAAATGAGAGCAGCAGTAATTCACACTTCTTAGACACAAAGTGTAAATGATAATATAGAATAGAGTGGAGGTGGGTCCTTATATTTTCCATCTATCAGTGCTTAAGAAACCACCAGCCATCTCTAGCAAGAGGAAAAGCAGCATTTGTAAACAATTTATAGGAGACTAGAATGACTGCCTGAATTTTGATTACTGATTTTTTTTTTTAAGGTTTAATATATTGTTTACAATTAAGCAGTCCTATTTGAATAATTCTATTACATTTTATGTACGTTTTTAAAAGATGAAAGAAAAAGCTTAAGCTCATTCTTCTCCTGGCTTTACTGACATACCAAAATATTGTTTTGTTGGTTGTTTTTTTGAGAATTTTTAGATGGTAGAATTCAATATATTGATGTTTTGCTTTAAGTTATCTACAGATTTTTAAGGTATCTGCAGATATTTTAAAAGCTCTGTAGATCTTTGATATCTGTGCTCAGGAAATTTTACACAAAGGAAAACAAACCTAAGGTAAATTTTAGATACGAGCCTTAAACTTGGGTGAGACTAATGCTAAATGATTGTCATGGAGCATTCTTGCAGACTTAATGTTTTATGCTTTTTAGCCAGAAGTGATGACCATGTAAGTTGTCCGTTCATTATTCAGTTATTCTCTCCAGTTAATACCTTAAGTCTGTTGTTTCACTTTAAAAAAAAAAAAAAGGCATATCAGCAGATTCTTCAAGGGGCCTGTTTGTGGACGGAGAATTTGCAATTTATCTTCCCAGTATTGCAAACTGGCAGATCGTACACGTGCACTGTTTACTCAGTGGCACTGGAAAGCCCGATGAATTTGCAGAACTAACAATCCTATGAATCCGTACACGAATGCTCAATGCTGTGTATTCAATGTGTTGTACTGTTTATGTAACCTAATCAGTGGTTTAGGTCCATTCTTTTCTGTTCTAGTCAGTCCTTTCAGTGTTAACAGCATCCTGTGAAATTTAATTTTATATTGAATTGTCCTAGCCCCGCCTCAACCTTACGAAGCCATATTGTATTTTTTTGGTGACATGTACATCTGTTTTACGCATTTGTACATGTGATGTATTTTTAACAATGTGTGCCTTTACTCTAAAGTGATTTAAAGTAAACAGCAGTATGTTCTATGATATAAAAAATAAAATATTTTAACCACCGTTTCTGTTGAAGGCATTTATTTTCCTTATTAATCAGTATTTATTGAGGACAAACACTGGTTAGCTAGAGCTAGTACATGATAATTTCACCATGTAACACATTTTTCTGAACAACAATGTCAGTTGGAGTAAATACCTCCCACTGAGGGGCATCTGAGTGTAATGCTGAAGTAGGGAAACTAGTTTCTCTACCTACCATATGTAATCAGTTGAGAGGAAAGGATGAGTTTCCCTACCCTACTGAACACCCAGGGAGACCGACTTCTCAATGTGAGGACCTAAATTCGGAGTGCAGTTAGGCACGGTGAGTTGACTCTTTGTTGTCGTTGTTGCTTTTCTTTTAATGTCTCCCCAGTGCTCAGTCGTGCAAGGAGCTGATGGCCTTAGTCCCAGTCCAGCAAAGCGCTCAAACACTGGCCTAACATCAGGCACTTGTGCTTAAACTGCTTGCTGTCCTCTGCATGGGAATTAAAGACCCTTTAAGTGGAAAAGGTGCTGAATTAGTGGCAAAAAGAGTTGAGTCTTTCAAATTGAGCCAGGTAAATCAATATGACCATTACTTTTAAAAATTAAGCTATTAATAAGAAGATCCTGTAGTCTTACCAAAAGTAAGTATATGTGATAAGCTGTATTCCACACAGATGATGCACCAGCTGAGTAGTCTGCTGATGGTACGCTTTGTCAGTCAGTGGTCCGTGATTCTTCATTGTACTTGTGTGAAGCAAAGTGCAGTCCTGTTTTCCTTCATCAGGCAAAGCTCCCTTTGGTTGCGCTTCGAGCCGCATCTGCGAAGAAGTGCTGGGTAAGCCATTTAGGTGGAAGAAAAATCTCTAAATCCTGTCCATGGGATGGCAGGTGACAGGCAGCCTCGGTTTGCACACCCGCGCACACGGAAGGCAGCTGCCCGCTTCCGGAGCGTATGGTTGACCAGTGTTAACGTGCGTACTGCCAGCCTACGTCATGGTGATGATGTGTCTTCTATACCGAACACTGAACCAAATTAAAAAATTGATTTTTGAGGTGGATTAATATTGCCCAGATTTCCATTGGAGGCGGTTTCTCTGTGTGTGTCCTGTAAACATCTAAAAGGCACTGAGAAATATATTGCGTTATCTCAAACTGCCGGGCAGTAGTGGGAACTACGCATGGAAAAGAAACAACACACTGTCACTTGTGTAACTCTGAGATACTGATGTAAATATTTTCCTGTTTCTTTAAAACTGAAATAAACTTTAATTTTAGACTTGAGTGTTTTGAGACTGATTGTATTGCAAGATTTGGGGTGGGGTTTTTAATTATTTGCAGGAAAAGGGTCACTTTTCCGATTCTTAACTGATGGACAGACTTCAGTGTGGTGCTGAGCCCTTTCAGTTGGCTGTGGAAATGTGCATGGATAACATCAACCACAGGACACGAGTAGCTCCAAAGATACAAAGCTGAATGAGACAAGTGGCCAGTGCTCTATCCTAACAGTGTTCAACATTTTCAGAATTCTCAAAAGCTTTTGTAAATGCTTTTGCTGGGGAAGGGGAAAGTGAAGGGACACATGCCCCTCATGTATCAGCTCTCCAAAGGAAAAAAGCTACTGGTGTAATTGGTAACAATACCGGCCAGGTGGTGCCCAAAATTCATAAATTAAGTCCACATCGCCACCCCTCTCTGCACCCCTGAATACAGGTACGGAACTGGCCCCAACACCCACTATTTTATCAGTACAATACAGTGATACTCTTCATTAGTGGAAAAATGCCTTTCATCCCAATCCAAGACCCAGAGGTAGTAAAGCATGTATAAATACCGATAAAGAGCATATACAGTAGATAAGGTGCTAAACAATACATCTCCAAGAACAACTGTGAGAGCACATAAAACAACGTTCTGGCCAGTGACATCCAAGGAAACATGATGAATGTTTACAGTGAATTTGTTTTAATGCATTCAGGTCAAATCTGTTGTTATCTGAACCCTTTGTACCCCATGTTGGATGCCCCAAAGGACTGTCATGGTTTGGCCTGGCTGGCAACTAAATGCCACACAGCTGCTTGCTCAGCCTCCCCCACCCCCAGGGGATGGGGAAGAGAAATAAAGGGGAAAGGGGAAGGAGACTCGTGGGTTGAGATAAGAACAATTTAATAATAATAATAATGACTATATATATATGTATAATGATGATAGTATATACAAACACATGATGCACAGCATAACTGCTCACCACCTGGTGACCAATGCCTGTCCCATCCTGGCAAAATGATCCCAAAACAGGTAAG